CCCCCCCCCCCCCCGTTCACAGAGTTTGCGTACCCAAAGGCTTACAGCCCAAACAACGACAGGACCCCAAAAGACTGGAGCGGCCACCACTCGAGAAATCTGCTTGCAAACCACACGTGTACACACCTGGAGGACCCCAAGTTTCCAATACTTTTAAGAAGCAGACCGGGCCGAGAAACAAGACCAGCACCGCAAAAGAATCCACGGACACCACGACACCACCTTTTGGAACCCACCTTCATGTTGTAGCCGTAGTCGAACGTGAAGAACCACATGTAGGAGATGTGCAGCAGGTAGTACACAGTCATCGACACGCCTACCGTGGGCACCAGCTTGCGTAACCGGTGACTTTCGAGAGGCGTTTTTCGTTTTGGATATAAATATTTAGACCCACGTGCGCGCAAGAGGGAACACGCAGACGGGATTGGTGTTACTTGGGGGGCGGGGGCGGGGGGATTTGGGTTTTGCGCCCATCCGAGCACACGAGGGAACAGCAGAGCCTCGGACGGGGTGCGGGAGCGACACATTAATAGGTGTTCGACAGATACACGTAAGTACCAACGCGAGAAATCAGGCTTTCGTAGCGCAGCGTGGGGGGCGGGATTGCGTAATGCTGTAGGTGGGATATACATGCTCTATGCACGAAAGTACGCGAAAAAATGGCGGGGGGGGGNCCCACGTGCGCGCAAGAGGGAACACGCAGACGGGATTGGTGTTACTTGGGGGGCGGGGGCGGGGGGATTTGGGTTTTGCGCCCATCCGAGCACACGAGGGAACAGCAGAGCCTCGGACGGGGTGCGGGAGCGACACATTAATAGGTGTTCGACAGATACACGTAAGTACCAACGCGAGAAATCAGGCTTTCGTAGCGCAGCGTGGGGGGCGGGATTGCGTAATGCTGTAGGTGGGATATACATGCTCTATGCACGAAAGTACGCGAAAAAAGGGCGGGGGGGGTTCTGTTACAGCAGTATGGGCGCGGAGATAAGATATGTCAATTTCGGTTTCAGGCTACTTTTTTGTTTGATCACTTGCAAGTGCCAGGGGATCTTATTATAGTGTAGGATCCACGCTGAGTTGTGGTTCTCAACTCTGCTTCATCAATGTAGCCAAAAGCGGACTATGTTGTTATTTGTACACGATCAACAGCAGCAGCAGCAGCAGCAGCAGCAGCAGCAGTAGCAGCAGAAGTCCCCCCTGTGTTGAACTCCATTTATAGTACCAGTCCATCCCCTCGTCCTCACCGCTGCGTCTACCGAAAGCTGCCCAACCTTAATCTTCTTACCCCACGCTCACCTTCGATTCCTGGGCGGGCCTGCCAACCGCACAAACGCCACCCACACGACGAAGAAGATGTTCCTGCAGAGGGGCACCGTGAGGAGAGTGATGAAGGAAGGGGGGGGGAGAGGGGGAGGTTGTAACTCCCCTTACGAAAACGACCGAACTGTTGACGACCATCATCCCTTCGTTAAGAAGTGCGCACCTTCGCTATGAGTAATGGAGACAATAAGACAGGTCTGACAGGCGATAAACTTGCGACGAACTCCACGAGAGACGAAGTCAAAAGGAGTTTCTCTGCTTCAAGGAGACGGGAGGAGTGACGCTAGCAGAGTAAGTCTTGCTGCTGTAGCCTTCACACCCCGGCAACAGTTCTGAGACTCACGCCCTGGCTGTACCAGAGTCTTGACGATGGAAGGATAGGTACAGGCCGGCGGGGATGATACACGGTAAAGGGCTCTGCTTGTATCCGCTTTGGTCCAACACCGCCCTTATACTGGGCGCCCGGAACAATTCCGAGTGTGAGACAACTTGAAAATTCCATCTATGTCAACCAAAATACGGAGTGGCCCTTGCTTGAATCTGCTTTGGTCCAAGGAAAAACAACGATCGTATATCGGGCACCCGGCACCATTCAGAGAATTGAGACAACTAGGATATTCCATCAATGCCAAGCGACTTCACCGGCCTTAAACAGGGCAACCTTTTCTAATAAATAGTCTTAAACAGGGACCCTTACTGCAAGTGGTGGTTCCACAAAAAAAAAAAAAGAGGCTCACAATAGGGCGAAGAAATAATCGGCCGCTTCCGTCCAAGGCACATCCCTCGCATGAAACACCGCCGACCAAAGCCACGTGTTCATCCCCACCCACGGGTACACCGTCAGCCAGAACCGCATGTAGTTACCCGGCGGATTGTATTGACCTGCTATCACGCGATAGGGTAGAGTACTCATGTTGTGTTGCCCTAGTTTTGTTACGCTATTGGCCACGCGTCCTCGAGAGGAGGGGGCGGGGTGGGTGTACTCATAGTACTCATAGTCGTGCATGCCGTAGTCGTTGGACCATTGACCTCGCATCCCTAAAAAGCCGGGACGGAGCACGCCGGGTTCTCACCGGACCAGGCTTTCACATCACCAAGCGCGAAACGCCGTGAGGTATTCGGCGAGTCGCATGAAGGGTGCGCTGCATCCTGCTAAGGGTGTTCGGCATCTTGTGCTTACTTCCTTGCGTACGGATGACAGCTGCGTACGACGTAATTTAATTTCTGGTGCTTTCACTTCCAGAGACAGTTGTAAGCACTGTGTAACTGCCTCGAGGGTGCTTGACCATTTTAACACAACATGGTGCGATCATCCCCCTTGCGCGGAGTGAGGATTGTCCACCCCGCACAACATGATCTACTCGACCACCATCATGGTTACCGCCAAATTAAAAATAGAGGTAAAAAAAAAACCTGGTTGCCGAGTTCACGAAGTGACTTGGCTTGATTTACAACGTCGTTGCCAAG